TTTAAAATTAACTGGCATTCTTTTAAAGTACATTAGATTAATAACTATCTACATCCATAAGGTAAAGTACCATAGATATCATCATTTCCCTAATGCTTCCAATAAATCTAAGGAAACTGGCCACATGTTAAACTGGCACTTTAGGCTAATTCTATCTGGATCCAAATCTTTCTTTTCCATGTAATATCAAACAAGTCATATATTGATTTTTTTAAAATTGTATTACATAATGTATACAACAAAGGTATAGGACACAGAAAGAGACAACAAAAATATGAACCTTTCATGGCAGAAGAAAAGATTTTATCCAAATACAGATTACAAAGGTGTCTAAGACATACCTGAGTATGGCATTGCTAAGAAGATTTACCATGATGGGTATTGCATGGATGTAAGAATCATTGAACCTCACATTCAACGATGCTGAATCATTTATCCTGTCATTTCAAAAAATAAAAAAATAAGAAACAGAAATGATATTATGCCTATACATATTTGAAGTGACCCTGTAATACAGGATATGCAAAGAATAATATGGAACAATCAAAGATCATTTACGTATATCATAAATCCCTGAAAACATAAAAACAAAAGCACTATCCTTTTCAAACAACAAGAAAAAAACGGCCAGCAGAAACTTACTTGTCTTCTGGAAAACGGCTAACATCCAAGGCAGTGAAATGAGGTCTGAGGTTATATAGTGATGTGAAATTTCCATCATACGGAGATAAGGACATTCCTGCGGAACTTAGAGTGTCCTCTAATTGTGTCAATGTATGTGCTGTGTTATTTTGTACAAGGGCACCTGACAACTCTTCACTATACATCCCTGAAAAATAAGTTAATATATTAGATTATAACCAAAAAATTCACCCTTGTGGATGCTTGTAAAAATTCATTTGAGTGTTTGCAGTTGTATGCATGAGCGTATGAATGAATGTCTGCCAATAAAGATAAGTAATGAAATACCGTTATTTACCTCCCATGACTATACACATCATGGTAATTTTGATGTTACTGAGCAGAAAGAGAGCATCTCTGGGTGGAAATGCTGAGATTTGATATATGATATATGATAATGAAATATATTTCATCTAGTGTTTAAAAATCAAGCTCTTCAACCTTTGCCTTCATAAAACTTTAAATGTTTTTTTTTCAGCTGGGGGACAAAGTGGAGGAAATGTAGCTCATAATGGTAAGTCCTTTTCCTCTCAATACCAACCACATAACTCACATGTGTTAAGATTCAACAGCTCATCTGTGGGTACTTTTACTTGCTGCGTGTCTAAAACAGCAATTGCACCAATGGTTAACCCAAGCGGGAAAACTATCAAGAAAAACATGGCCACCTTTTCTCGTAACAAGCTAATGAATCGAACCTTCAACATAGCCTTGTATGTTCTCCATGGATCTGGCCTGAAAGAAAAGAATATCTATGAAGTACATTTATCTTCCCTTTGTTCACTAGGACCATTTACATACTAAATCTAATTGTGAAAATGAATGTCTTGCATAATACGTAAACCATACATGATTCAGAGATTATTCTCAAAACAATTTTATCAGAGCATCCACTAACTGAAGGCTCTAATAATGGAAATATTTAATCATTCTAAAGGCAAAAAAAAATAATACTTTAAAGTGCAATGTATGCAATGAGCCATACTGTAGCTTACACATACCTGACTTCAACAGCATCAAGTGCAAAGCCTTCTTGGTTGTTATCTGGCACTTGGCCATTTTGGGCATTGGAGTTAATAGGTGATGTTGAATGCTGGGGTGAGGATGAGGTTAGTCTCTCTCTTACCATCTGGCTAATGTCGCCTAGAGACTGTTGACCTGTACTTTCATTTTCTTCACTTAAGGTTAAGAACACCTGGTAGGAAAAAAATAAAGTTTGGGATAAAAATCCAACCCAGAAGAAAAAGAAACATGTACAAGTTAGAGTCTATGTGTGAATATAAAATCCATCCCTCATGCTGCTGCATAATCACAAAAGCACATTGCGCTATACAGAGGACACACAAAATAAAAATTCACAAACATTATATGAACTTCTACTAGGAACTTTTATTACAACTGATTAAATAAATATGAGCCACATGAAGGAATTAAAATCTTTTCCACAAACCTCTTCCAAAGTTGTCATGGAGATGCCATAGCCTTCTACAACAGAATTCCCTTCTGCTTTCATATGATCATCCAAGTTTAGGAATAGTGTTGGAAAAGATTCTGCTGTATCAGATGGTAACAGGAAGGACATTTCTTTTCCATAATGCCTCATTAGTTGTGCATTACTAATCACAGACTGCACAATGTTCTGGATAATATTTGTATCACAGTCATCTGACACAACTAACCTGAAATAGAATTAGACATTTCTCACAATCAACTGTTTTAATCTTCCGATATAACTATACTAAAGTTGAATTCAAAATATACTCACCAAATAAAAATAAATATGTAACAATTACAATATCAATTTCCTTTAGTACAGTTCACCATTCATTAAATTTTGTAAGTTAATCCTATATCTAAACTCAAAGTACCTCTCACACGTACGTCAAATGATAACCCAGGCCAAATTTGTTTTTCAGGAACAGAGATGATCCACAACAGCGCAGCTTCCCTTTTGAAACGATAGCCTTCCGATCAGCTAAGATGTCTGCTTCATCCATAAAATGAGTTGTCAGTAAAATTACCTGAAAAAATATGATGCACAGGCATGAAGGATGAGTGATCCATCAGTACAGTATTAGGACAGCGTATGAGACTAACTTCACCCAAGTTAGGCAAACCATAAATATATTTCATATAAAGAACTTGAATTTCCTAGCTCACCTTGCCTTCCTTACGGCTCTTCAACAAACTCCAAAGCTTCCTGCGAGAGTAAGCATCAACCCCAGCTGTTGGCTCGTCCAAAAATATAAGCTTTGGGTCTCCAATCAAAGCTATTCCTATTGACAATTTCCTCTTTTGTCCACCTATAAAGGTAAGTTCAAATAATCTTATGCTTTGTAGGTTAGGTTGGGTTAGATTTGGTGTGGGAGATAAGGTTAGATTAGTTCAGATTAATCATTTACTAGTTTTCATCATACATATGAAGAGATGGTTAGCTTACAAGGTTTTTAAATCTTTCTATCAATTATCAGTTTTGGCTCCGGGAGGTTGGTTTGTGATTATTATTGAGAAATTACATCATTAAGCTAAGAACCAGATTATGGAATTTACATAAAACCTCTGCCAGTGAAGAGATGCATCAGTTTGATCAAAAGCTTCTCAGCATGACTAGAAGCAGCAATTTTGATTTTAACCCATTGCATATGGGAAAATGTTGCATTCACATTAGTATTGTTTAATTAAATGTTTCTGCTTCTGTGTTAGTGCTTAGCCACAAAAGAGTCAATTAGTAGATCTTGTAACCTCACTTTCCTTGAAATAATATGAAAACAATTTTTTCTTACTAATGCTATCATTATCATTACTATAATGTTATTGACATTACTAACCAGTATTAAATACTAGAAAATATTATCGAAAATCAAGGAAAAGGTTAAACAGGTGAGACAAGTAGTTCTCGTAACTGGCTCAATGGTGACATTGTACATGTGGAGCCATCTATATGTAAAAACAATTATTAAATGAAACACACAGTGGGCATGGCATGTACACACATGCCTTAAGCAAGTCACTAGTATTACTAAAAAAAGATGACAACAAAACAAATCAAATCATCAATTTACCTGAGAGTTCCACAGCCTTGGTGTCACCCTTACTTTTGAGGTCCACCTCCTGCAATGTCTGCTCTACAGTTTCCCCAACCTTATTGGAAGGGATACCCTGAAATGAATCAAAAATCATAATGACTGATAGCAATCCTTTGATCTATCAACTAAAAATTGGCTATTTTCATTTACCCTACTTGCATTTGAAATATATTTAGAATGATAGAAATCCAAAACACAGTTTGCTTACATACCCTAATTCGAGCATAAAAGCTGAGATGTTCTCTAGGAGTTAGGTTTAAGAAGATGATGTCATGCTGGGGACATACACCTGTTATTCGCCGAATGTCAACCAAGTCATTAGGATCACTGAAATAAGGACAGAATGACGGCCATATATACAAAAATCAATCTAAACTTAAAACACAGGTAAACAACTTTGCTTTTTGTTCAAAATCAAACAAATGTCAGAAAGTCTAAGAAATATTAAATACATTATGCCATCAAAAAAAAAAAAAAAAAAAGAAAAGAAGAAGAAGAAAAAAAAAAAAAAAATCTCAACCAAATTAATACGTGTCCATCATACATTTTATGACTACTTACAGAAATTCAGTACCAAAAAAAAAGAGATATACAAATTCTGTTAATCATAACAAATCTCACCTGATGTCCATGCCAAAAATAGATGCCGTGCCCCCTGTTGGTGCCGTCATTCCAGTGAGAATGTTAAATAGGGTTGTCTTCCCTGCTCCGTTATGACCAAGGATAGCAGTAATTTGTCCCTCGTAAACATCTAAACTTATACCTGTTGAAAATTGATTGAAGAATATATATACACATAATTGTATGTGTGTGTGTTGTGTGTGTGTGTGTGTGTGTGTGTGTGTGTGTGTGTGTGTGTGTGTGTGTGTGTTGTGTGTGTGTGTGTGTGTGTGTGTGTGTGTGTGTGTGTGTGTGTGTGTGTGTATGTGTGTATATGTGTGTGTGTGTATGTGTGTGTGTGTGTGTGTGTATATGTGTGTGTATGTATGTGTATGTATGTGTATGTATGTTATGTGTGTGAATGTGTGTGTGTGTGTGTGAATGTGTGTGTGAATGTGTGTGTGAATGTGTGTGTGAACGTATGTGTGAATGTGTGTGTATATACACACCAATATACACACCAATATCAATATCTATATGTGTATAAGCTTCCAACAGCATTTTGATGTTCTATATTTCATCCTAATCTATAAGATATATAATTACAAATAACCATATTAACAATATAAACCC